GATGATAAGGGCAGAAGACCTAAGAAGTATTGATAAGTCGAGATATGTGGAATGTCTAAAGTTGTTGCTATGGGAGCATTGGCAGGGAGACTTTTTGCCAGACTATTTGAATAGAATGAAGGATGTGGAAGTATTTGCAAGGTTTAGAGTAGGAAATGAATGTAGAAAATGTAAATATTGGATGAAAGAAGAAGAAATGATATGTAGGATATGTGAAAGGGGAGATGAAACAATGATGCATGTACTGGGAGGATGTGAGGAAAGTAAAGATTTAGATGCATGTAAGGAGATATTAAGTGGGAGTGGCGACGGTCTGATCCTACTTAAAAATATAATTAAAAAAAAGAAAGGGTTTCAGTTTAGTTAATGTAAGGGAGGGATTCAATAGATAAATTAGTATAAGTTGAATAAATGAAATATATATGCAGGTGAGTAGTATATGTGTATCTGATACGTGATACGATAAGATTCGATTAGTTTTTTTTTTAATTATTTAAGTTAAGTTAACTTTCTCTTGTAATTGTTGTGTATGAATCAAGGCTTAGTTTGATAAGAATTGTATGTATTGTGTAAATAACTTTATGTTGAAATATATTACTACTACTAACAGTAAGCGATGCAGCGGTTGGCAGTTCTTCAGGTACGCAAAAGATCAGGGTCAATGTTGAACTTTTTTTAATGTCCGATACAGACAACATGCTTAAATTCCGCTTGTCTGCGTCTCTTTCTGTTACACATCAATTGGTGTAAAGTTATTCCTTTTTATTATTCTTATTAGTGTCCGCTGTAGTTTAGTTAGTAAGCTGAAAGAAGAAAGTAAATGCGACAATTTTATTGCTGTCTATGCCAATTTTGAATGTTCCAACTATAGGCTGAACAACGCCCATTTGCCGTCAAATCTTATTACCAAAATGGGGAAAGTTTCGTGGGAGTACCTAAATTCACAAGTGTTTCAAAAATAACCACCCTCCTCAGGACTCCAGGCATTAAAAGAAAGGAGTAGCGGTAAAGTGGCCGCAGTACCGCTAGAAATGACTGCAAAAATTTGTGCAACAAAATGGAGATTACCTCTCGAACATTATTTTTAGAAAATGAACGTTTGCGTATATATACAGTATGTTCATTCATTTTCATCGTAATTAATGTGCAGTTCTCATTATTTGGACTTTCCATTATTCGATGTTGGCGCTATCGAGCGTACTATCAATCCGAACACAAGGAAACAGCTATAAAAAAACTGAATAAGCCACGCGATTGTAGGTAAATTCAAAAATATCTTGTTCTTCATTAAGAATTAAGAAATTAAATTTGTTTAAAATTGTAAAGTTTCTACAAAAATTTCTTTATACTTCCCCAGGAATTCTTATGGAGAAAAAAAGATATTTAAACAACAAAAACATTATTTGGCTTAAAAAAAAGAAAAACTTATTTCTTTAATTATTCGCAAGTATTTAAAGAATTTTACAAACTTTAAACAAGAATTATTATATTAGAAATAACATTATAAGCTGGCTACAAGCTTCCTAGGTTTAGGGAAATTTTCTTAGGTCTGGCAGCGTTAACCAAAAATCTAACATGTTAGTGGATGTCTCTTCCTCTTACTTACTACTTGCCGAAAGAGAGAGCTGATAGCGTAAATTCGATTGGTGTGTCGTCTAGTGAACATACACAATAGGAGTCATTTCATAAAGCTTCGGAATCTAATAGGCTATTAGTAGCAAAAATAATTCCACAAAGACAAGGATCTTATAAAAAAATCTACCCGCCCGGAGCCTCGCAATGGCTAGGGCCGCCCCTGGTTAGTGCTACGTATTTTCAATGGAATAATTATACTCGTAGTTTTCAGCTATTTATAGCCGGGTTGTTTTTAAAATTTCCATTTTATTTCACTCATGCATTATGCATAAGTTGTTGAAATGTCAATAAACTGTAATAAAAATAATATAATTTGTTCAGAATAAATAAAATTAAAATAAAACATCTGTTTTGGCTTCTTTGTTTATTACGATGCATATTTTATGAATATACGTTGTCAGTTTCACTGGTATTTCTTTAATTTAGTCTATTAACCTTGTAAAATTCAACAGACAGTCAAAACAACAATAAAGTAATAAACCTTGACATTGCACGACCCAAAAAAATTATAGCTAAGCTTTATTAATAAGGTTTTGCCATCATGATTAATTCAGTCGCTCGTTCATTTTAGCAACCTAATCGTCGTGTCATGATCATTTGTAATTCCGATCGTTTCGGTTTCGTTCTATTAAAGGAAAAAGTTAGTCACGTCATCGTGTTAACGTACTTATATTGTACAAATTAATCACTGTATAGAAATTGAAACAACGCTAACTAGGAGGACTCAGAACCTTGACTTTAATTTCTGCACAACAAAATGATGTGATGTGTTACTTAAAAAGGATCAAAATATAAAAGCGAGAAATAATAATTAATCAAATGAACGATAAGCGCAGTTGGTGTTTACTGTTACTGTTTATTAAGAAACTGCAATATCATAAATACAGTTTGTCCTTTTTATTCATTTTAATTACATTTTTTTATTTTTGTTTGTGTTGCCAGATTTTTTTGCCAAGTCGGGATTTTGGAACTTTTTGAATGAAAAGAGCGAGATTCTTTCGTCGAAAGCGGGACAGTAAAAAAACGTATATAATCAGAAGTTTTTAAATATTTATCTTTTTATTTTAGTTCAAATTACGTTTACGTGACAATAGATAGCAAAAATAGCCATAGTAAATGTATAAAATAATAAAAATGTGATATTTTAAATCAGATTTACCCTATCGTTAAATAGTTGAGTTTTATTCGTCTTCTGAATAAAAAAACAGAAATCAAAATTAAAAAAGTTTTGGTAAAGGTCTAGATGATGGTCCCCACCCCTTTCGGGGGTGGGGTGGGGGGATCGAAAGAGGAGGTCTCCCCCACCACTGTACCATAAAAAGTTCGTGGCGGTCTCACCCCCATAACAAGTTATGGGAGTTCAAAGTTAATAAATATGCCAATTTTGATACATTTCTAGGCCCCCCACCTCCACCCGCTGGAAAATAATTTTTTTATTGAATTTTATTTGAATTATAGTGCATGAAAATTGTCAAAATAAACAACTTTCAACCCCCATAACTTTTTATGGGGGTGAGACCGCCACTAACTTTTTATGGTACAGTGGTGGGGGAGACCACTCCTCCTCTTTCGATCCCATTATCTAGACTTTTTTCAAAGTTTTATTCATTAGAAAAATATGACGTTTCAAACAATAGTCTGAGGAGTGATTGTAACAAATTGCAACAATAAGAGAATAATTATTTATAAGGATTATTTATTCATAATATTTCTGTGAAGATTTAACTTCTTTTAAAGTCTCCTTTTTCTCATTAATAAAGAACTCTTCACAGATGAAACTGGATTAGTATTTCTGCTTTTATTAAATTTACGGAGCATTTATTTCTGACATCCGACCATTTAAATTCATCGGGGAAAAAACGCGTTCAGGAAAGCAGTTTGATGTTGGGATACTTAATATGAAAGACACTAATTTAAACATATTCCTGGTATCTTTTTTTGGAAAAAACGGGCGGCCAGTGCACACTTATCTGTGCCACCCGCCCGCGCTTCCTCAGCACTTGGCACGCACGGTCAAGTTATCCCCGAAAAGCGGGACTGAACTTGTCCCGCGCGGGACATTTAATTTTGATTTAAAAATTGGGACGTCCCGCCAAAATAGGGACGTCTAGCAACGCTTATTAAGGTTTACATTGCGTAAATATTATAGAACTGGAAAGTTGAATCCTTCTAAAATGGGGAATTATTGGAAATTAAAACCAATCCTTCTTTTCTGCTTTCAAGCATAAATTTGTCCTGTTACGTGTGGGAAGGGGTGCCCAAAATTGATGAATTTTATATTACATATGAAATCCTACAAACGGCATGGTAAACGCCATCTGTAGTACAATGCTGCATTTTGTGGAATTCAAAAATGTTCAACAATGTCCATTTACATAGTTGGATATGTACTTACTGATTGAATCCACGGCGTATTTCACCATATCTTATAAGGACGTTCGACGAAAATCAAACAAAGAAATTCTAAGTGGTCAGATCGCGATCCGCGTCTGGCAGATTCGCCAGAATACTGTGGTATTTTAGGTTTTAATATTTTTCCACAACGGTAAAGTTACAATTCTATTCTGAAACGATATATATTTTCGATTTCCTACAAAATCTAATCAGCTTAATCGATTTTCCTCAAAACGTCTACTTTCCGCGTTGCTGTGAAATTGAGCCATTTGATGTTATTTGAACGATTCTCAAAACGTTATTTTGTTAACCGACATATTCGTCTGAAACTCTGTGCTTATTTTCGTTTATCCTTTCAGGTCAAGCGATCCTGTGGTGTGGCCAAATTGTCAGAACAGAATCATCTCCCTGTTGCCAAATCTTTAACAACAACGCCACCAACTTCAGATTCTTCTTCGTCAACGGTTTCGTCTTCTCCGAGTTCTACTTACGCGGGCGGTAGTAAACCTCGGATGGCAGCCAAAGTTCGGATATTTTCTCAACCACCGAATAACCATTTGACGCAATTCCTTGGTTCCATTGGAAAAAGTAGAGGGTTTTATGGAAACTTGGCGGAAAGTCTTTGTAAAGACGATAGCTTTGCCGAACCCAAGGATCAACACTGCTGGAATGGAGAGCGAATCGGAGAGTAAGTAAAAAATCAAATGTATTTGTACGAGGTCTGTTCAAAAAGTATCGCGCATTTTGATTTTCCGCGGGTAACATATATTCGATATTCAATTTTTTTTGTGGCATTATGTTGGTATTCATATCTGTCACTTATATAGACAAGTTCGGCCATTTTGAATGTTCGGTTAACATTTGACAGCTTTTTTGCTTGCACGTGTTTTGGCTTGTCTTCGATTTTTGCCTAAAAAACAAAATTAAGTACGTGGACGCATTCCTAATCTTGGCATATGCTGAAGCTACCTTCGATGAAACAACGTTTATGAGTGGTACAAAATGTTCTCAGAGGGCCGGGAAGATGAGAACGACGCAGAGCGTGCCGGACGCCCGAGGACGTCAACAACAGACGAAAACATTGATAAAGTGAAGAAAATAGAATTGGCTAATCATCGAATCACCGTTAGAGAAATTAATACTGTGGACCTAAATATATCGATTGAGTCGTACTATTCAATTTTTACCAATGATTGGGGTATGAGACGGGTGGCCACAAAATTCGTACCAAAATTTTTCAATTTCTACCAAAAACAGCATTTTATTAACATTGCTGAGAAGCATTTGGACTTTGTCCGCGACGACCGAAATTTTCTCCAGAGGGTCATTACTAGTAACGAATCATAGGTTTATGGTTATGACGTGGAAATAAAAGCTCAATTATCCCAATGAAAGCTGCCGCAGGAGCCAAAATCGAAAAAAGCGCGCCAAGTTAGGCCAAATGTGAAGGTTTTGCTTACAATTTTTTTCGATTGCAAAGATGTGGTGCATCATGAGTTCTTGCCACAGTGTAAAACGGTCAATAAGGAATATTACGTGCAAATTATGCGCAGTTTGAGTGAAGTAAAGAAGTAAGAACAAAAATTTGCCTTTGCACCATGATAACGCCTTTGCTGATACGTCATTGTTTGTGCGCGAATTTTTGCTCAAAACCAACTCACTAATAATTCCGCAGCCACCGTATTCCTCAAATCTGGTCTTCTGTGGCTTTTTCTTGTTCCCGAAACTGTAGAGACCCATGAAAGGACGACGCTACTCTTTTTTCAAGTGCTTCAAGAATTGGAAAAAAATGTTGGCACAAATGTATTACATCTGGTAGAGATTACTTTGTAAGGGACAAAGTAGATTTTCATAAATAAATAAGTAGTTTTTGAAAAAACACAAAATTTGCGATACTTTTTAAACAGGCTTCGTATTCTGTAATTACTCGTAATTTGTGTATTATAAAATAAAAAAGCGTTTCCCTATCTCCCTTTCATGCAAAAAGTTTTGGGTAGATTTCAAGGAAAATTCGCCATTATTGTATAAATTAGAGCAGTAGATGCTTTTTTTTTTTTCAGTTTTCCCATATCCTATTTTATGATACCTTGTGTATCTAGAAGTTTAAATTTTAGCAACGCTATATTCAGACATTGTATAAAAATATTAACATCTGTAATTAATAATCAAAAGTCAAAACGAGATTTCACTATTGTGTTTTCGTACGTCTTTCATATGAAATAATTAATTACTTTTTGATGGTTGTGTTTGGAATAAAAAACTGAAAACCTATGAGGTGGAAAAATCCACCTATAAATATTTGTTGTTAGTAGCTATTAGCGATACATCTGCAAACAGTTGCGTTATGAAAAGGAAAGCTATAAAGAAGCTCTGTTGTGTGAGTACGTTACCGTATGCGCCATCTACTGAAATATATACTATATAATTGAAGTGTACTGACGTATACAAACCGACTTCATTCATTTACCTATATGCACAAACAAACCAAAACGTTCAAAAGATCTAACTGAAATATTGAAGTTACGTTAATTTCTCCAACTATTTTTAGTAATCCTCTAATCTTCCACCCTTGGAGGTGGAATTTTTTCGTCAAATTTAAATGGAACTAACCCTGAGATATTGCTTCTTCAATAAAAGAATAATCATTAAAATCGATTCACAATTGACGAAGAGATCGGGTAATATACAAACAAAAAAAATCAATCGACTTGACAACCTCCTTTTTTTGGAGTCGACTGAAAAAAGAAGATATGCTTGTATGCAATATCTAACGCCAGGCCAAAAGGAACACTTACAGAATAATAACCCATACGTAAAACACATGCATATGTTAATATTTAATTTATTGTCTAATTTAGTATGCTTTTAACTATTTGTTATATTTATTGTTTTTTTATTACCAAGAAGCGAAACGTTCGTGTTTATTCTAAATTAATGGCTCTTGACTTTGATTTCTTTATATTATTTTACTATTAAAACTTAATATTTACCAATATCTTTGATTGTACTATTAGTGATACCATACACCAAAATATTTCTTATTATTACAAATTAATTGAATACAATGGGGCAAATTGTCCTACAAAATCTGGATTGCCTACCACAGACAAACTTGATTTCAATCGCCAATTAATTTTCTATATTGTCTAGATAGATAGATTTGAAATTTGCTCTGTAATCGATTTCCAAACGTGTTACTCTAATCACAATTGACATTAATTTAATGGGAATGAGCCACACAGACAATATTTGTAAATGGAATATTTATTAATTTAAAAAGGTAGTTAATTATACGCGGGTAGTCGCAATACTAAGTTCCCGTGTTTTTTCTCGAAGCTTGGTGAATGAAGTGAGCTGAACGAGACAGTCAAGTTTATTTTTGCGATTCTGATTACCCTGTGAAAAGAACTCTGCACCAATCATATGTGAACGTACTTTCGGTGAAGTTGGCTAAAATTTCAGTATGTTGTAGTTGACATCATTCTCAACAAAAGTGTGCATGAGACATTGGGCACTAAAACAATCGGGTTTTGGGTCATTTTGAAGTTTTCCGTTCTGAAATCATGTTATTTTTCCACATATCAATCAATACGTGAAAATAGTGATTTGCTCTACACAATATAATGTCGTTTATTATAACAAAGAAGTTCATGATTAGTATTCAGTCGAAACTGCCAGACGGTGACCGCGATTTCGATCTGATTGGATCTCATCAGCGCCACGAAGACAGCTTCGACAGAACATAGACTTTTTTGTTTAGTTTTTCCTCGAAAAAGGGAAATTTTCAAAAGACACCCCCTGGATGGGGGTAGTGTCGGATTCGCCGAAGCCCCTACCGAGTAAAACGCCTCCTCGAGTAGGGAGATCAACCAAAAGGTTGTACATCCCAAGGGAAGATTCGTTAGGAAGGCTGGGAAATGGGTAGAGGTATGAATGAGGAGGAGAGTCTGCTCAGAAGAAGTTGAATAGAATGGGCAATAGCTTGGAACCTTGGGAGACGCCGGCTGTGACGAGTTTGCCGGGGGATATGGACTAACTTTGCCTTCTGCCTTCACACAGCGTTTTATGAAATACTATAAACGACACGGTAAACGCCATCTAAAATATAATGCTACATTTAGTGGAATTCAATATGTTCAGCAAGGTTGACTTACATAAATAGATATCTACTTACTGAACTGAATCCACGACGTAGCTCACACCCTATGTCATAGGCATGTTATCAAAATCGAACAAAGAAGTTCATGGTGGAATACAGTCGAAACTGCCAGACGCGAATTGCGATTTGAATTCCACTAAATGTAGCATTGTACTACAGATGGGGTTTATCGCACCGTTTGTAGGATTTCATAAAACGTTATGTCAAGACATCAAATAGAGTTGGTCCCTATTCTGTTGAAACCGTATCTGACGCGCTGATCTTTGTCTGGCAGTTTCTACTGAACGTTGAACAAACATTAGTTATATTGTGTAAAGCAAATCTATATCTGTGTAATTGGTGCATTGGTGGCAAAATATATTCAACAAAGTAGGGAGGATAAAGCTTTCTGGGAAGAGTCGGATGGACCACATTCTCACATTCACCTTATTAACCAGACGGATTTTTCGAGTTTGATTACTTTGGTTGTTTCCGTGCCAGTAGCCAAATTGTTTGACTGATAAGAAGATTATGTAAAAAAATAGTAAATCTTAAATGAAAGTATTTTGAAAATTTCATTCACTAGACTTAGAGAGTAAAGCACGGAAACTTGGTTTGGAGAAGACCCTTAGATTATGTAGTCTTTCGCCGTTGTTGTTTAAGTGAAATTCATCATTCTGGATTTGCATCGTGTCAATTTGTTTGTTGCTTGTTTAACCTTCAATGCCTAGTTTGTATAATTAGATGCATAATACAAAAAATAATGTATCCACCTTACCTTCCAGCTGATTTATAGCGAATACCTAATCACTCACATCTTTACATGTGTAATTACATATTTACCTTTTTTGTCTGAACATCGTCAGACAAATTATTTATAATTAAAAAAAGCGATTTGGACTAAGTGCCCTTACGTAAATGGAAGTTTAATTTCTGAAGTGCTACTTCGACATGATGTAGTTTGTAGTTGATTCTGAAGTAAATCGCTTATGCATGCAAATTAAAAGCTAACAAACATTGAAGGGCTACTGGTTTTAAATGCAGAATAATGCGTTGCCTTTCGTGTAAATACGATACTCTAGACGTCCGCAATTCATACTTTATTACATTGAAAAAGTGAGAAAAACGCAGAAACAGACGATTAGCCTACCGCTACAATCAGAAATTACCAAGGAGAAAGAATATTACAATGCATTTACCACTTGATTATCGCGTGTGCAATAAATTTTACCCACACAATTTTGCTGTACACAGGATGATTATTCTTGTGCAGTTTGATATTTAAAATCTCCATTTATACAAGAAGTGTATATTGAAATATAGTTAGTACTGTACTGGGTGTACCTAGCTCGCAGGAGAGGCGATAGAGCACTATATAATACATGAAAATTAAGTAAATGTTTCGAAAGTACAGGTAAATTCAATTCCGGTCCTGCTAGAGAAATACGGTCCGCAACGTTGCACTCAATGAGCTGGTAATTATTTGTTTTATAATTTTTGCTCAAGTATTGTTTATTTGTTAGATTAGATTAGGTGTGATTCAGCGTGTTATGTTAACAGACAAACTCTAGTAGCCGTTTATTTTTTTTTAGAACAGAAACCCATGTTTTCGGAAAAATTCACAGTAGGCACGAGCGATCTATTGCGGCCAATCCCCTTAATACGATAAATGACATCGAATCCTTTTCTGTTTACCGATAGCAACCGCGAATACAGGAACTGGGTTGCAACCGTGAATAAGGATCTTTTACTGTATATCATAAACTTCTATATTTTCTAAGATATCTTTCTCTGAAACCATTAGCATGAATGTTTTTAGCTTTTCTTGACCCGTATATAGAATTATAAATTTTAAAAGACCGTTCCCAGGATGCGTGCGTTATAGAATCAATGCGTATTTATATGCAACTGGATATATCCCACCTAATAAATTGTATCTATGCAAAATGTGAAAAGAGCACAAAAGACAGTTTTTACAAATTCGTTGTTTGCTTTAGAGTGTTCTTCATTATCTTCATTTAATTCAGTGTCAGAAAACGTTTTAGCGTCTTCATGTATACGTTCGTATTCTTCCAAAGGGGCAGTTTTTAATGTTTTCCAATTACTCATGCAGTTCCTTAAAAAAATCAAAATATTTCTGTTTGTTTAACATCTAACAAAAATCGTACTTTTCTTGAGAACACCCTAAACTATCATTTGCCTGAAGCGCAGATTCTAACTCATTACCATGTAGCTGGAATTTATTTAATAAGTTTTAAGTTTTTTTTTAATGAAATAAAAACGAAAAGTTCATTCAAAAAAAGCGCTTCGTACTTGTGTAGATAATAATGAGAGCTTTGATTTGAGACTTCGACCACTCGTTCAACTTGTGTACATCAGCAGTAATCCATATAAGATTCAAAAAACTAAAAATTTTCGATACCAATAAATGATACCAACAAAAGGTAGTTGTGTTTAGTTAATGCATAAACAAAAAAACAACGTTGTTTTCTTTTAAAACTTTAAAGGCTCTCCTAAAATTCCCGGGCCTTTTCATAGTCCCAGTCCGCTCCTGAGAACCTCCACTTTTTTTGAAGCCGGTTGAAAGTATACTCACATTAAATATGTAGACCAACAACTTGTCGGATGTTCCAAGCAATATACTGATCTTCGCTTTCCATGTAAACAAATGGAGTACACAGAATACAATTCAATAAAGCGCGTGATTTCCTATTAGTGGGATAGAATTTGAAAATTTACACTTCAAATGCAATGTTTCGATATAAGTAGGTTAGATATATAGATGAAAAATGAGAAAAGTTGCAGTCAAGAAGTTTACCTTAGGGTTCGAGATAGATATTGGACTGCAATTTATTTGACGAAGTCCGATCCATAAATATTCCTATCAGCTTTTGTAAAATTCATGAAAACATCGAAAGTCGCTTAAACTGAAAGACTCCGATACTCTCACATGAATATATAGGCGTACGATATGAATGATGGTAAATTGAATGAAACTAAACCTACAAAGTAAATTATTACTCAAATGCAGCAAAAAAAGTAACAAATTTTCCTATAATTTTATTAAAGTTACTTATTGAAAAGAAAAGTAAACATTCTTTTAATTCCGAATCTCGTTTGAATTTATAACATTAGACACTCTTTTTTGGTGGAATCTCACCTCGACAAAAAAAGTAAATTGACAATAATTTTGCAATTAAGACCCTTGATACCTTATTGTGTCAAGGTATCCAATTTTTTGCAATTTTGCGGGGTATTTCTTTTATTGTAAACATAGAAGATTGCGGTATTCACGTATTTGTGATAATAAAGATGGCACCAGCAAAATTTTCATATCCCTTTTGGTTTTTGAGATACAGGGCGGAGACACTGAATTGTTATAGGGTTAAATTCAGTACTGGTGCGTAAAACTCGAGGCTCGGGTTCTATTCCCGACGAAGGAGTCACAGCATAAATTTTTTTTCACATTAATTTCAGGTTATCTGTAGTGAGTAAAGTTAATTTAAATAATAATTAATTCACTAGTACAGGGCGGAATTGGAAAGTATCACCGTGGGGCACTCCCCTTTATTTCAGTTATCTTTAAACTTATCGAAGAAGTTAAAATGTATTAATCCGTGGGCCCGATCCCCTATTTTTAAATGATTAATACATACTTAAAAGTGAGCGATTTATTCCTTTTGGTGAATTTTACCACACATTCCCTCTACGACTTTTTTCAAAATTGTTGCGTTTTAAAGTGAGATGATCAAAACATGCCGAATACATGAGTTTTACTTCTTTGATGAATACGTATTTAGTTTTAATGCATTTACAAGATAATTTAATACACTTAACCGATGCCAAGCGCCGAATGTTGTTTTGCGAATACTATTTACAACAATCGAATCTTTTGGCAAGCTCGTCGTCTAGTCCGATGAATTTTATTTTTGAAGTGCGTGTATTTTCAATCGCCATAATACAGGAAATTGGTTTACAGAAAATCACTGTGCAATTTTTGATAAGACGCATAATCTACAAAATTTTAGATGGAAGTCGCATTCTCGAAACAATTATTCCAGAACTAATGGAAAATTTTCCATTATTATTTATAATGGCGTTTATTTTCAACAAGACAGTGCCCCAAGATACAACCTGCGCTGCTAAGGGTAAACAGTAGCTTTACTGAAAAATGAATTGACAGCTATGGACCTCTATGATATGACCCCCTCAATATCCGGTTCGTTGAATTTTGGATTTTCTGTTTTGGAGTATAGAATCTTATTGTTTTATTTTGTGTAAAATCACTAATTTTATCACTTAAAATGCTGTAATAAATAAAAGTAAACTGAGAATTAAAAAAGATTTTTTGAAATAAGTTTAAAAGTATTATTGTAGGTACATCTGTAGCATAATAATTTTTAAAATGATTGTCTGTAAAGATGTATATTTGGAAAGGTCACATTATGACTATTAAATATAAAAATAATATACAGGGTGTTCTATTTAAAAAACATATGTTTGCGTCATAACTAAAAAACCGAAAATGCTGGAAAAAAGTTGACTACGTCACTGAATTCTACGAAAAACAGTGTATAAGAATAATTTATAACTTCTTCGATAAGTTTATAGATAACTGAGATACGGGAGGAGGAGGTGCCTCAAAAGTGATACTGTTCAATTCCGCTCTGTATCTTAAAAACCAAAAAGTAAATATTTTTACGTATAAGTTATAACACCATTAAAATTAGGTTTAATGCCCTACAACTGAATTTGAATATCCGCAGGGGTATAACAACAGCACCGCTATGTGCAATTGTTTTCTTAGCTGTCTTAGCTCAACTTCTCTGGAAAATATTCTTTCAATGATTTTTTGAGGTTTAACAAATAAATGCTCATTATGGTTTTACCCACATCTGATGTTACATGTAGGTAACTCATTTTCTTCGACAAATCTATTTACAAGTAAAAGGGTTCGTAACTGTTTTGTTCAACACATTCAATCCAATGCGTTTACTGTTAAAATACTTTTATGCTCTCGCCTAACTTAGTGTAAAAAGGCGCACCTATATATAATGTTTACAGAACTAGATAGTTATCCCTGATATCGATTTAAATCCCACTCAAGGCAGAAATACATTTATAAGTTTTCGGTAAACTTTTCGTTGTTTGTTCTGAATGATTTATTTTGTTTACAGATATTCGCAAACCATTGTAGACGTTCGTTTGGATATGCAAAAATACAACCCTGAAGTTAAACCAAGCATAGATCTTCAAAACATTGATCCCCGGATTGCAAATTTAGCAGATAAATTACGTCATGTTCATCAGGTAATTCTTTATTCTATATATTCAGCATTAGATATTGTTAGTCATTGTTTACTCGAATTATTTTTTGGTAAATTACATATAGATACGTGAAATTTTGTGTAGCATTAAATAAAGCATGTACCTAATCGAACTATGAAAATGACGGTTGAAATATATTTCATAAATACATAACAAACTATCGATAGTTTCAAAGGTTAATGTTATGTTTTAATTAAAGCAAAATTCCTTTTTGTATTTTAGATGGTTAAATCTTCTTTGGGAGTAGTAGGTTTACCAGAAGCTGATAATTATATGCAAAGCGATAGTGCAGATGGTTCTGGTTCTGGTGAAGGACCTGACATGGACGATTCCGACGACGAATATTCTCGAACTGGTTCAGGATCAGGAGGTGGACCCATAATTCATCGTAAGTATTTATGATTAATAGTTCTGTAGCTAGCATTCTCAAGTACAAAGATATTTTACATTAAAATAATCAATGTGACCCAATTTGTAGATTTAGGAATTATGTATTAGTGTTGATAGAGTAAATTTTATTATTCAGAAAAAATATTGTTGAAACTAATACAAACAAAATTTATTAATCACGTAAGTTTTATGCTTTCGATCACGAAGTACTTTGCTGATTTTTTTGTAACTTTTTGTAAAGAAAAGTTGTAATTCGAATTATAAAAAAAGCAACTGTAAAATATAAAGTCATACTAGAGGTCCCATTTTTTTTTTTTTGAGAAAAATAAGGCATCTAATTTTTGTTTTCGATAATTTCCGATAACCACCTACTGTAAGGGCTGAGGGCGCAAGGGTAATAGTGAAAATCTGCGCTTGATTTGTAGTCTTTCCGCTTTTTCTACCATCCGATATTGTCAGCTAACAAATCTAAATTCAAGCGGGTTTATAAAACAAGATCTTACCAAAGAGGTGTAAAATAAACTTAAATGTCGACATGACATCCCAATGGCCGCTCGATAGGTTTATAAAATATTTTGTTTATTTGTAGATATATACAGGGAGGCTCAAAAAGTACGTAATATGTTCATTGTGACCAAACTATTTATAGGTTTAATCCAAAAATATTTCAAACAAATCAAAGTACAAGATCATTTGTAGCATTTAAATTTGCATTACATCTTTCTATCTTTCTTCTATTTTTGAACACTTTGTATAATAAATCAAATTAAGATGTTATAAATGATCCTCAAATAAAATAGGGAACAGGGTTTGTTTGAAATAATTTTGGATTAAACGTATAGTTTGGTAACAATGAGCATATTGCGTACTTTTTGGGACACCCTGTGTATATGTAAAGATAAACAAAATATATAAGTCGAAATCTATCGAGCGGTCATTAAGACGTCTGTATTTTTTATATACAGAGTGTTAATTGATCTATTTCGAATGGTAGAAATAAACAAAGTGGTATACAAAACTATGGGTTGTAACTTGTAACCTTGCTAATGAAACAGAATACAGAGAAAATTACAGCCATATTTTTATTAATTTTGTTTAACAATAAGTCTGTTTTTACATTAAAACTTTTATAGTAACTTCCACTAGTGTATAATAATTAATAGTACCTATAAAACATAACAATAATCAGATCATATGATAATTATTATCGTTGCCTTACTAGGATAAGTTATAACGTATACATGACAATTTGATAATGATGTTTTTTGTTTCAGCTACTAATTCAGATACGGATAACAGTTATCCTCCAAGTCGAACCGATAACGAGGACAGTTACAACAGCGGTTACCCATCACAACCACCTAGTGCAGGAGTTGCTTCGTACTGTAATTCACTCTACTCTGTTTTAGTGGTACCTACAGTTTTAGTGTTGACTAGGTTTTAATGGGTCCACCCTAACTGAACTTTGAGTAATCAAAATACAGACTTAAAAAATAAAAAAAATCGTTGAAAAAAGAAAGATGTTTATGATATTTAAATGTTAATCGGTTGGTTATTGCTTGAGAAATATTTACGACAACGCGTATGCTCTGTTGGCACTAAACTACGATGGAGCAGATTTGACTACGTGATAGAAAATGCAGCTTTTCCTCATCTTCTTCCATTACAAAGCTTTTAAAAACCCTTTGTATTCAGTGGAATATTTAATTTATGCTTTATTTAAGAAATGGTTTTCTTTTAGGCTTTATTATTTCAGTATTAAGAAAGTCACTGGTAAGCAAATTGGCTGTTGATCATTATTTATTTTATGTCTGTGACATATCTTTTTCTCTTTTCTTTTGGAATATTCATATAAATATTTTTAACACACAAGTAGTGTGAGTGTGGGGCTGCGAAAGGCCGTTACAGTTATAGCATACAATGAGACTGCATGTAGTATGATAGATGTTATTTATAAATTTGCCAACAACATAACGTAATATGTAGTTAGTAATATGTATAATAAATAGAAATGTCACTAACGTCGCACTTATTTGCAGCATTTCGTTTCAGTAGAAAAGGAATTTTTGCTAAAATACCTTTCCATTACATACACAGAACTTTTGGTTACGTTATTTTAAACGAAGTGTTTTTGAAGTAATTAGAAATACAGTATGGTAGCATTATAGTTTAAAATAGTTACTTATTTTCCCTTTTCAAAAAAGTTTTGTTACAAAGATTGAGATTCAATGACATTGTATCGTCCAAGTAAAATTCTTTTCATTAAAAGATAATTTGTGTATGATAAATTACCATTAACAGATTTGATTCAAATCTGAACAATATTTTCATCTAAGAACAAGTTTTTTAATATTGTTTCGTTGAAATGATCTTTTTCAAATTTGTTTTCAAATAAGCTCATTTTTTGAAAGGAAATTGAATTATTTGCAAGCACTCAAGGTTATCCCTTGCATTGTTTCTAAACGTAATGATTTTGTAAATGTTTATAAAACTTTCAAATTTTAAATAAAAAAATGATGTACGGTATGCTTAATCATTTATTTTTAAAATTCCGAAGCGAAGGTGCAAATTTTTAGAAAATGAAATGTTGCAAAATAAAGATTTTAAATCATTTTAACTACAATTTAAAAAGTGGAAATTATAATTGTTTGTTAAAGCAAAGTTTGTTTTATGTCTTATTTGTGTGTAAAAGTGGTTGATTGAATAATTTTTTTATTGAAATAGAAGCAAAATTTTGTGATAGCTTAGAAAGTAACCTACTTATTTAACTAAATGATTATTAGCTGTTGTTTGAATTTGGGTGTGAATGTGAGAAGGTATGGGAAGTATGTACGTTTTTTTTTAAGTTCTTAAATTTAAATTGTTTTCAGAATTGTCTGTGATTAAAATAATGTTATTTAATTGTAAAAGGTAACTAAATTAATGTATAAAAAAATCATATTTTTTTGAAAGAACGTTCAGTTTATTGTTATTATTTATTAGGCCGACGAAATGCAATTTTTCCTAAATACTTTTCACTGAATGTAGAAGAAAAATACTATTTTGTAAACGTTGCATAGAATATATTAAATGTAAAATGGTGCAGCATTCACAAATACGATCTTACCGTTTAAATGTAAATGTACAGTTACTAATAATTATATGACATATACATAAATAAATAAAATAGTTAGCCTATTAAAGTTACATTTAAGATTTTAAAAAATGTAATTATATATATCTTTGTGTAATGTTAGTAAACTGAAGCCAATCTTTGTATATTTGCTGTAAAATTAAAAGAAAATACTTCCAGTTGTTCTAAGTGTTAGATTTGATAAGTAAATTTTGAAAATGGCAAACGTTATGACTATTTCATTCTTATTTACGATACTACCTAAGACATATGTACGTATAAAAAATGAGTATAATGAATTAGTCACAGTCAAGACAGGTATGAAACTGCCTCAATTTGTTGTAGAACTTTAATCAGTAACGTATATCTACGAGTAACTTGAAACACTTCTAAAAACTATAAATTAGAAAAAAAAGTTGAAATTATTAAGAATTAAAACAACGATATTGAAAAGAATAATTAGATAAGTATTTTAAAAGTTACATTTGTACTATTTTCTTCTCCAAAAAAGTATAATATTTGGATTTCTTTTTGTAATTTAAAACTGTATTTTTAACAATAAATTGCAATTTTTTTCACAAAGCTATTTGTTTTTTACGTTAGAATATGAGTTTTTTTCAAGTAAACGTTAATCGTTGTTTTGAAAACAGGCAAAGAATTAATTTTTTTATGTGGTATAAACATAAAACTTTCTTTTAGTCGCAGCATTTTATACTTTTGAAGTGTTTCATTTATGCTCAGATATATTATTATAATGAAGAGCGCTTGGTTACATCTACTAAATTTGGTAATTTCAAGACCTGTTGATTATACTATAACTTTGAAGTATCAAAACTTTAGACGATGTTTTTTTAAATAGAAGGTGCTATTGGAGCAGTTTTGATTTTTCCGAAGCTTCGTCAGTTTTTTTTATTACTTTTTTATTATGTATCTACCAGCAATATCAATAAACCCAACACTGCCCGCTCATTTTATAGTTCCAATCAATTTTTCATCTTTTAACGATTGATTTTATTGACTTATTATTATGTAATTTAAAACATTTTTGACATTGCTGTTCATTTTTTCTTGTTTTTTAAATGATGAGAAATAAAACGAACTATTTATTACAAATCTGAGTTACATATCATATATGTATGTTAATAAGAGTCCATACAGCTCAACAGTAATAATTACTTTTATGATATGTTTTCGATTTATAATGGAATCAAGACTGGCCAAAAGTTTCAATTAAAGTTACTGTTTTTAAAATAATACTATATAATAGAAAAGTGGTCTTACATTTTTTTTTGTAATAGCATTAATTTTTATTTTTTGCTCACTAACCTGCTGTTTCTGGCTTCATAGTATGGTAAACTAACTAGTCTTAGCTTGGTAATTAAATTTAAGATCCTGATCACAATTCATTATATATTTACTCTGTATTACATACGTTTATTTTGGTAGAAATAAATCGATAGTGGCCTTTTTTATTAAGTTTCTTTATCATCCAAAACTACTATATTAATAATCGCGTATTTATTGGATGATATGAAAAAATTGAATTTTAACAAAATATGTTATAAAAAGTGATGGATTAAAAGTACCGAATGAATAAAGTACCGATTCATGGGCCCTTGCAATTGTCCCCGCATTTTATATATTTTTGTAAAATTAGGGGTTTATTAGGTTATTTATACTTTCAAGACAATTTTAATGTGTGTATAACAGGGTGTCATATGTTTTGACGAAAATGTGTAGGCGAAATTCAAAGAAATGATTCATAATTTCGGTCCCTTTTTAACTAATTTTTAAATTTGGACGCGCAAGTTTTCGTTCTTTACGTGGTTTAAGCCAATTTTAATTCGTATGATCGTATTGAAATTTGGACTCGCAAAATTTCGCTTATCTTTAAAAAATCAAAGTCGAATCAAATTTCGAGTCTAACCAATTTTCAAATTTAAACGTGGGAACTTTCGCTCTTATAGTTCAACTTGAGGCGGATCTAAAAAGATGATGCAAAGGCCTCTGCAAGTGTCCCCACATTCCAATCATGCATTTCTTGTAAAAATTTAAAATTACGCGTTACTTTTTTTTTAACTGGGGCCCCTTAGAATATTATGCACCGTGCTTAAAATATCCAAGATCCGCCACTGGCGTATTCAGTTATTAAAAAATACCTCATTTATATGTATATAAATAAATTCTAGAAAATTTGTGGTAATATATTTATCCAATTTATCAGAAAAAAAGATTTTGTTCATTTTATTATTATTTATTGAATACATTCAATTGGAAATTGTAATTCCTGTAACTTAAGTAGCACTTCAAATAACAGAAAATAAACAAAATTCCTATAATATCATCATTAATAAAACTAAATGCTTAACCAAAAATTGAAAAACTAATAAATAATTATTGTTACTAAAGGTTTTTGGTTATTGCAGTTATTAATTTCGCTGTTTTTTAATAAGTGGGGATTGTTCTGTTATAATTATTCAAATAACGTTGTATATATATGTATAATCTTTTGATAACGTCTTTTTGAGATCTTGAAATGATGTTGAATAATACAACAAATTCTAGTCATAGCTTCCTAAGGATAGGTGCGCTGCTGCGAGTTTGTATTCCTAAAAATTTATGACAAATTTTGAATTCCTTTAATTTGCGCATGCTCTCTTCTCTGACAGGCAAATTAAAAAGAGATGAGAAGATGAAAGAGTGCGAAACAGTTAAATAGGTGCGCCGTCAACATGTTGTGTGTCATCGTCATGTAGGAACATTTTTTTGAATTGATAACTTTAGGTACTGATGGTTTAGAGATAGTGTGATATTAGTGTTTAAAAATTTAGTACATATGTCGGCATCGAGTTTACTATTTTTCGCGCTAAGTATAAATTTGTTTCATTAAATTTATATTGTTAGTGGTCAGAACAAAATGGCGCATCAAATACCCCCATCGGTGAATTGTTCACTGGACGAAATTGATTTAGGTGCTCTCAAAGTAAGTATCCTATGTGGTGAAATCCCTTCATTTAGTTATTTTGAATGTTACTTGCTATTTCTGATTCTCACGTTTGTTTTAATTGTAATATAAACATTATCGTAATGGGTGTGAGTTATGGACTAACTAATAAATACAACAACAAAATACCAAGTGTTTTGTAAACTATTTTATTTTAGGATCCTGCAGGAATATTTGAATTGATTGAAGTTGTTGGAAATGGTACTTATGGACAAGTTTATAAGGTATGAATATTTATTTTATACAGTGTAAAGGTAACCCTACTTCTTACTAAACTATTACTTTGATTCATTTTGAATGTAAATGCACACTTTACAATTAAATTAATTTCTCAGAAACAGATATGATGATACGTACGTTAAACGTAATATGAAAAAGTAGTACATATTCAAGAGGAATTTAATAAACAATGTGGTCTCTAAGTAAAGACCTTAGTTATTTATTTATTTTATATCCCTTGAAGTTAACAAAATTAAAATTCATTCATTTATCAATGTCTTTGTGTGTTGATTTAAATTACTTAAAAGACATAATCCAATAAACAATGTAATTAAAGATAAATACATTTTGAAGAAATACAATAACTTTATATCTTGACTATGCTAACTAATATTTATTAGTTCTCTTTTGTTCCACGAATGCAGTAATGCAAGTGATATCTTTAACAAACTTTATTGTTAAAGTTGCTTAAAAATGTTTGAAAACTTAGTTGTGATTAGGACTTCTATTTAAATAATTAAATGTTTTTACTTACGTACATGTAAAAACACAACGACAACGTATATTTTCAAGAATACTTATTGAATTGGTATAAGTTAAAGCATTTATTTTTTGTGTTATGTATGTTGCAGACAAATGATCATTTCAGTCAAATAATATTTATCTAGGCAAATACCTTTTAACAAGGCGAATTGTTTCAACCATTATTTCAAGGTATTGGTTTAGGCAAGTGTCATTTCACTGTACAAATGCCAATTACCTAGTAATGTCTTAAGATTATTTCTTTAACTGTTGTAATTGCATAGGATATTTGCACTTGGATAGAGACCAGACAGTAAGACATTTGCACTCGAATAGTGCATATATATTACTATTAATTTGCTTACTTGACTAGTTTATAAACTAGCTGGTTAGTGGATAGTATACAAACTGTCGAAATGTCTATTGACATATACGCTTCTATTTGTAAAATAGGAGAAGACAACAGTCACTTGCTATGTATTTCCTTTTATGAATATCATAATTGCATAATTTACCTTCTCGAGTATAATTGTACATCGCCGTCACTGTTTGGCCTGAAAAATGTTAAACAAATATCATTTGTCTAGTAAAATACATAGTATCTGCCTAGACGAATAAATTGAAATGGTTTATTTGGTCTAAAGTTATTTGCCTACGCATATGTTATTTGATTGAAATAACCATATGTCTACAACATATACATAATATACACATTATGTTTAAATGTCGGAAATATTAGAATTTCTTCAGTTTATTTTTGCAATCATATTCTTATAGTTCTTTGTTAGCACTTCGTTAATCTGGGAGCAACAAATTACAGTTTACCTTGATTTTAAGTTCATTAATTAGTCAGTCAATGTTGTAGTAGCTGAAAATTATTTTATTCGATTCACTATATTCTGATAAAAAAAGGTACTGTTTATTTCTTTTATTCGATTGTTACGTTTATTTAAGGGAGATGAAAGAAATGAAAAAATAGAAAACAGATAAGTCAAAATTAAAAAAAAAGGGCTGAGACATAAAACAAAATGAAATCAGTTCTATATTCGCTAACGGTTTAAATTATTAAAAGTTGTGTATAGCACGGCTTTGTACAGGTGCGAAACGTAGACGGTAGACGCGCCGGAAAAAAGGTAGAAACGTTTGAAATGTGTTATAGAACGATACACCATATTGTGACGATTGACTGAAGATTGGAAAGAATGAGTCAAACAGTCTTAGAAATNGCAGTTTACCTATTTTACAAATATAAAATATATGGAATTTTTAACAGCTTATTGGAATGTATGCTATTTTGTTTGTCTTCTTATCGCTTATTTTATCTATTAAGGGTCGTCATACTAAAACGGGACAACTTGCTGCCATCAAGGTTATGGACGTTACGGAAGATGAGGAGGAAGAAATAAAACTTGAAATCAATGTATTAAAAAAGTATTCAAACCATCGTAACATTGCCACTTATTATGGAGCATTTATTAAAAAGTCTCCCCCTGGCAAAGATGATCAACTTTGGCTTGTTATGGAATATTGTGGTGCAGGTAAAATATTTCAATACCTATCTGTCCCTGTCTACTTAACTTCTTATACAAAGACTTGTGCAAAGTAAAACGTTTCATTATTTTCATTTCGACATTCCTTGAAAATGGATAATTTGTAAAAGCATCTAAAATTACTGTTTTTAGCACGACAATTGAACTTAATGGTATGGATGAATTTATGACATTAACTTTATTAATTAGTAGTTTTGTTCATTCTCTCAAAGCTGCAACTAACTGGACTAATTATTTTGTTCACAGGATCGGTTACTGATCTTGTTAAGTCTACTAAGGGCCAATCTTTGAAAGAAGAGTGGATTGCCTACATTTGCCGAGAAATTTTACGAGGTCTTTCCTATTTGCATTTAAATAAAGTGATACATCGTGATATAAAGGGCCAAAATGTTCTTTTAACGGATAACGCAGAAGTGAAGCTAGGTAACTGAATTTGTTTATTTTAGTACATAATTATATATAAACAACAAGCATTGCTTTTATTTCAGTTGATTTTGGAGTATCTGCTCAATTAGATCGAACAATAGGAAGAAGAAACACATTTATAGGGACACCATACTGGATGGCACCTGAAGTTATTGCTTGTGACGAAAATCCGGACGCCACTTATGATAATCGCAGTGATTTGTGGTCCCTAGGTATTACTGCCTTAGAAATGGCCGAGTCTCAACCACCTCTGTGTGAGCTTCATCCCATGAGAGCGCTGTTTTTAATTCCTAGAAATCCACCTCCGAGGCTTAAAAGCAAAAAGTGGAACAAAAAATTTCATAGTATGTGCTATTTTCTAAAGTTTTGTTTGTACTTTTGTTTTACTAATCATAAAGGGTAATAAGACAATAAGAATTAATAGAGTGTATCCTTTATCTAATTTATAAGACGTATTAATCAAACCAAATATGATATATTTTTATAGAGAATATTTTATTTATACACTCGATGTCGCGGTTAATAATGGGTTCTTTGCTGATTTATTTTTAAATATACTCTGTAAAAACTGTAGGAAACAAAAGTAAACCGTAAACTATTATTTCAGGTTTTATCGAAACAGTATTAGTGAAAGACTATCATGAACGTCCTTATACGGACCAACTGCTGAAACATTCTTTCATTCGGGACCAGCCAACTGAAAGGCAAGTGCGAATACAGTTGAAAGATCACATAGACAGATGTAAGAAGCGAAAGCAGGAAAAGGAACGGGAAGATTACAGGTACGTGTTTTTTGTAATAATAATTATGATTCAAGTTTAAAAAGTGCCTGCGTACTTAATTTTACTTTAAAGAGCTTAATTTATTTACTAATACGCAATAGTACTGTATCAAAAAAGGAGAAATATTGGGTCCTCTTACTTGTAAAATTTGCAAAACCCTTTTTGGTGCATTTAGTTTGAATTCTTTAACTTAATTGAAGGACTGACGTGTTTCTTTAGAAATTATTGATGTCGAATTTTATTAAATTATTATTCACCTTCCTATTTTCTTTCGGCGTTAAAAAAAAATTAAACGGGTTATCTTATTTCATAGATATTCGGGTTCAGAGAACGAAGAAGAAGAACCAGCTCTAGCGGGCGAACCTAGCAGTATTGTACAAGCTCCTGGAGGTGATACCCTGCGTCGAAACTTCCAACAAATTCAAGAGGGACGTACGCTACATCAGGATGTTCAACCTCCACCACGGAATTCGAAAAAGGAGAAAGAACGAGAAGAGATACCAGAACCAGGTCCACCCGCTAGGCCACCAATTCCACAGAGAATTATTGTTGTTCCTGATCCACCGCCTGCAGCTCCTAGACGGTATGTTATTACAAATAATTTATATTGGACTCATCACTTTAAGAGGATTAGCAGTCGTCTCCATTTAACATGTTCAGAATATGTTACCAACATAAGCTGGATTCTTACTTATGAATGCCTGATTTTGATTAAACAAATTTGCTGTATGAGATAAGATTAACATATTTCCTATTAAGAGGTTTTCAGCACCTTTACTAATCTATTGACGAGTATTTAAGAAAAAAGAAATAAGAGCAGAGAATCTTTTATTATGCAAGAAATTGAAAAAATAACAGATTTGAAGGTAAAAACTTTAAAAATTACATTATAGTCTGCCCAAGTCTGTGACGTGCAAAATTTAAATGTCATTTTAATAAATCAATGCATATAATATTCTTGTAAGTTTTTTAATAATGACGTTAAAATTGGACACAGTTAATATACAGTGTCTCACGGTGACCACCCATTAGGATATTCTATAACTACTTCGATTTAAAATTAAAAGTTAATTCCAACATACTAAACTAAACTAAAGTATCAACGAGCCAAAGAAACATTTGAACGTCGAGACGTCGATTGTTGACAAAGTAAAATATTTGCATATTTTCTTCACTAGATGGTGTTATGCATATACTTTCGGTTGGTATGCTCAATTATTTAAATACGATCTGACGATACAACCGCGAAACCAATAACCCATCATCAATGTTAAATATTAAAAAACAAAACAAGAAAATAAAAAGAAAATACACTAATATAAATAATTTCTATTTTCAAAATCGCCGAATAGAAATTTTGGCGCAAGACATGTTCTAAAATCGTCAATTGTAGAGAAACGCCTAATCTGTCAACTCTGGTTTACAATTAACTTGTATTATTTGTTTTAGAATTTCTCAGCGATCGTAAAAAATTAAACGATTTTAGTTGTTTTCACAAAGGATAGTAAATAATTTGAAAATTAGAGATGGGTACAGGTAACCGTAGTACCATTCGAAAGAGAATAAAATTCTGCATAAATCTAAAAATAAATAAATAAATCCGCCATTAAACATCTAACACCCTGTATGTAATTAACCCACTTTGAAAGTATGAATCGGAAGCATGAGGGTTTAGCTATCTTTTCGGAGAATATTTATGCTCCAACGATCTTATTGTAAAGTAGGCATGCTTTTCCGCTACCTACTGCTCTGTGCTACTTTAAAAAAAATATCTCAGAAATGGTAAATTTTAGAGGTAGAAAAGTCTACTTAGGATCATAAGTAGAATTATAACCGTCATAATATATAGGATGTTCCATTTAAAATAAACGAAGTCGATGTCAACTTCCGGTATAACCGGAAGTGCTACATAGATGCCGTTATTTTAATTAAGGAGAGCATACCCAATAACGCCATTGTACATATTTTCAAATTCTAAATCGAAGTAGTTTCCGAAATATTCTATTGGGTGGTCACAGTGAGACACTATATATTAATTATGTATAACTAAGCAAAAGATAGGTTTCTACAAACTTATATAATTTACCCATAAAATCATGAAAAAGAATACTTCATTAAGTATTTTCGTCTATATCTCGTGAACAAATATTACACGAACAAGATGAAATGCACTGAAAAGAGCATATTATTTTCTATTAACACCGTAGACTCATGTTTTTGTTTTGCTAATTGCATCTTAGTCTTCATGGTACCTAGTTTGAATGTTTATCTGACAAAAAGTGTCAATTAGATTTTTCTCCTCAGCTTTAGCTTGAGTTTCGCCGGTGTAATATACAACAGGAAAAATTTAATCTGTTTTTATTGTAAAATCTATTTTTTCTTAATCATAAAAATGTTTCTAAATTTTGCACCACGACAAGCACGACTGCAATTCGACTGATTTTGTGATATTTATTTTTTTTTATAGCCCACTGCCACCACCCCCAGAAAATGCCGTATCAAGATCTCAACAGCAACCTCAGCGAAACTCGCAATCTCAACATATGTTCAAACCAATGGTGAGTTTTTCCTATATTTGTAATTAATTTTGTTTTTCTTCAACTATTATTAGAATGTTGATGCATTTAATTGAATGTTTTTCTATTTAAATTTTTTTCATTTTCAAATATTTGTTTTGATAAAAATTTACTTACCGGACACCGATTTAAAAAATTAAATCAAATTAAATTAAATAATAAACTAAAAAACTTAATATTGTTATGGTTCTCTTCTATTCTTTTAACCCTTGTTGAGTTTTCGTTCTCTACTTTTGTATTTTGCTTTTTTTGTAGACTCGCTTTTTTCTAATTTCACTTTTCTATTTATTTCATGTCGATGTTTCACCTTTTAACTTCAGGTGCCACCTCGAAATCCTGAGGTATGTATTAGATTTTCCTTTTTCTTTTCTGGTACATACTATCTTTCTTCATGCATTTTTATTTTCTATGACCAGTTTTGTTTTTTCTTTTTCTAATTAAGTTATGTTATATGTTATAAGTTTTTATAATTATAAACAAAATGCTAAAATTTTGAAGTATAACGTTCACACTATCCTACTAAAATTCGTTAAATGCTAAATAAGTCACTGCATATCATAAACTTTTATCACAGAATTATTATATTTGTAAGTTGAAGCGACACAATTATTATAACGTAATGAGAATTTTCACCGTTTAATATCCAATAAATGAATAATTTTACTGTCAAGTATTGTTAAATTTTTGGGCAAATTTACATTAAATACGCCATGTGATTATATACGTGGTGCTCTTTCAGTTTGCTTTCTGATAAAAAAATAATTCTTTTATAAAAATGCTTAGGATTTTCATGTAAGAATCAGCTTATTTATTGGTTATAGCAGGTATCAGTCCCTAAATAGGTATTGTGTCCTAGTCATTTCGTATAATATGAAATAACTGATTACTTTAGTAAAGTAATTAGGCATTTTATGAAATTTTCATAAAATGTACAAAAAACTTATATTTGATTTAAAACCCCTTGTTTCAAACAGTTATTTTTAAACTTTTATTTTTATTAATTTGGCGTTTAAAAAGTATACATTTTGTTTTGTTAATTTATAAACATTTTATATAAATTATCAACGGCTAATACCAATGATCACTGATTAGTTACTGAATATTTTGATACAGTCGAACTTCCCTAACTCTAACTTTCAGAAATTCGTTAATGTGTTCACACATCAAAATCTATAGTAGCAGATTCGCAGTTATCATTTTTACAGTAATAAGCAACAAACTGTGTAGTAATATTATTGAGAGATTGTGTATGAATTGATTTTATTCAACAATATACTGCACGTATTCTATCTTTCGTGCTCCCTCATATTGCAACAGGTAAATAAGCAGTAGCGTATATTTTGTAACATGCGAAGTTAGTTATGACTAGAGTTCGGATTTTATGCAAAATGCATATAACTTATATGCAAGCATATTTCTAAGACTTTTCAATAAGACATTCATTTAAATTAAATGCATATTTTGGTAAAATTCAACTTATTTACAAATTATCCGTATCTATCATGTAATGTTTAAAAATTTATTAACCATGTACTAATGTCTTTTCAATGACAACTTACATTGCCGTTTCTTACCTAAAACAAACATTTGCACATGCCGTAAATGGGGTTGCAGAAGTTGTCAGACTAGAACCCCGAATGTAAATAAATTGATTGCGAATGTAAAAAAAGTGTGTTTCAAAGCTCTCCTTAGAGTACAATTTTACGAAGAAAAACATCCAGGTGTACCTTTACCTTTACCCTAAAAATTGTCATAACAAGACGCGGAATTTGTTAAACTGTGTCTTTTTATATAAAAAATTTCGAAAAAATACAAACTGTAAGTGAATTTGATTCTACCGATCATTGCTAAATGTCACAATATTTTAAGTATTTCTGATATAAAAAGCGATTTAATTTATATATAGAGTAATTTTGTTTTTATATCACTGAATGAAAATGTTAACGTTTTCCTTGCGGTTAAGGAAAAAATTGACTGTTCGAAATTAAAGATAAATTCAGCTTCGTATTTAATAAAAATTCTGGATTTAAAAAATTAGTTCACATAAACGGCATTTTAAAAGGTCATGAACCAACAAAGTATTGAAATTGGATGGATAATTATAGAAAATCATTATTATAATTTGTCTAAAGATAATGTTTGTTATTCTTTTGTGAATTGTACATGTGTATACCTTATGTAATTTTTTTTATACAAATAAAAATCTTGTGCTTTAAGTCATTAAAAAAAATGCATATTTGCATGCATATATTTACTATTTTTTTTGTGTATATATACCAAACTCTAGTTATGACTTACTTTACTCTACTTAACCACACATAAAATGATGCAGTCTACAATTTTCGAGCGTTGTTTTTTTTTTTTCTGTGTGGAAAGTGAGTACAATATGCTGTTGCCATTATTTTTTGTTTGGTTCATACAAACTGTCAATTGTTTAAACGCAGTTTTTCGATAATTTTACGATAATAAATGTAGTTTTGTCCGTAATACTAGCTTTATAACGATATGATGCGTTGTAATGAAACTGATTTTTTTAACTCATAGGAACTTGAAGTACTTGCGGCTCATTTGAACGAATTAGGTGTGCAACAGCCGGAAGCTCCGCCCAGAAATAATCGTAATAGTAAACAGTCGCAATCGGCTGTTAATAATAACATAACTACACCCAGTTCCGCAAATAATCACACTCCGATTGCTACTAATCACAACAGCGGATCTGTTGGCAATCAAGTGCCAAGTAATATTCTCGATCCGTTGGTAGATAGTGAAAGTGAATCGGAACCGGAAGATAATGGTAGAGGACGAAATGATGGCACGTTATTGGCTAGTGACCCTCCAAAACCACTGTGAGTACTAACTTGTATTTATCATAATTACGTTGTTTTAACACTTATACATTTAATTATTCGTAAACATATTTTCTTTAAGAGATAAAGTACAACATTAACTAATGTTTAATCTCCTTTCCTTTCCATATTTTGGTTTTATTATTCATTTTACTATTTGTTTTGTTTTTACTCTTTAAATTGTCCACAATATTGATACTCTTTATGTGTGTTTTATTTTTAATTTCATTCAATTTATATTTGTCTTTAATTTTAAATACAATTATTACTGTTTTTTTTATTTACTTTCTTTGTTTGGTTTCGTTTTGTTTTGTTAGTCCTGAGTTCACTTTCAGGCCTGGATTAGGGGTTGTAGCAGAAGGAGTTCCTAGCAGTTCTAGTCCAGTAGCTACGGGTTCATCCGGAGGCGCTCCCAACAGGCCTTTGCCACCGACCCCTGATGATGATGACGCACAGGGGGATAAGACTCTTGTATTAAGAAGGGTAAGATTACAAGTTACTTGTAGGTACATTAGTTGTTATAGGAATTGTCCAGGAGCTGTTTCAGGAGTGTTATCTTCTACAGTATTATTGTAAAGACATTATTAACGAATGACCTATTAATTTTGGTTTTTTCGTTTTGTTTGTTTTTTTTTGGATATATGTTTCTTCCTACTTTCATTTGAATAACAAAAAAAATACTATTCTAAGCTTCCTCCCGGGTGTTTTCCAAGGATCGCAGAATTGTACTTTTGCATGTGTTTCGCCGTTCTCTACTAATGACATCTGCAGCGGTTAATCAACTAGAGCTCAGTCGTGTCTAATGTGATGATGTTAAATATACCGTGTCAGTAGAGAATGATAAAACATCTGAGAAAGTTAATTCCATGAACCACGACAACGGCACAGGAAGAATAATAGAATAGAAAAAATTTAAACTGATGTATATTATGCTGGTTTTTGTTAATTTTTGTCGTCCATTGTTTTTGTGTTCCAATATTGTACTTATTTGTTTATTTTTACGTAATATTTTTCTTATGTTCATAAAATAACAGCAGCCTGCAGCCAGTCTAACTACCGGCGATCAGCAAGAAAAAAAGAAAGAAGAAATTGATGAGGCGACGTTGTTAAAAGACTGGGACTTTGACAGGTTTTTCCCGTCCAAGTTCCCGTCGAAACAGGATGCTCCTGCTACATCGACACCTAACAGTTCTCCTTCCGCAGCAAAATCGAACGATACAAATAAACGAAATTTACAGAATCAGGAAGCCAAAGCAGCGTCGTCGTCGTCTAACCACCGTCGAATGGAGAGTGATTCGAAAGTAGGAGGTCCGTTTTTCCGCGGTTTTCGCCGTGAAAATTCAGACTTTTTCCCCCTCAGCTCGCGCCACTCGGCAGTTTTTGGCGAAAGAAGCAACCCGCTTAAGTCGAGCGGTATTTTCAATAATCGACGAAGTTCGGATGCAGGCATAGGAAAGAAAAATCTTGGCGAACCCGTTTTGACTGATTTTATCAAACGGAGTTCTGATTCGCCAGCTAGCACATCATCTAGCGGTAGCACACCAAAAATTAACAATAATGACAGTTATCTTCGAATAAAGTCACCTGTCAAAAGTACAGATTCCGGACTCGATCCGAATATTTACAAGCCAAGACGTGAAAAGACTGAATCGGACATTGTTCTATTACGTTCGGAAGCGCGCAAAGGGCTGCGCGAGAGCTTGGAGGCACGCAGACGTGACTTTGAGTCGCAGTTTTTCAAGGAGGCTGAAATTATGCGAAGGCGCAATTCGCGACCTGTTGACGTAAATTCCATAGCGCTGTCGACGTCGACCGCTAGTAGTATCATTGATGGAGACGATTATTTGTATCTGCAACAGGTAAATTTTCCCAAAATATTATTTCAGGAGGTGCTTTTTCATTGCAGTATAGAGCTCGAACATGAACAGTTTTTAATACGACAATAAAAATATAACTACGTGAAGTTGGTACAAATTAACCAAATGTGAAGATCAGCTATTGACAGTTGCATATATTTTTATTTAATGAAAACTCCATTTTCATTACTTGTGCCATTAATGGGTCTTGCGTTTGGTGGAATAAAAACTTCCCAAAAGTTTAACAGAAGGAGTTTTGATTATATGGTTTTACTTACAAATCCTATAAAAATACAAATTTTTTTATAAATAGCAATTTTTTATAATAAGGTATTATTCAAAACTCGAAACGCAAGATTTTTTAAGTTTGCATTAAAAAATTAAGCTGTAATATATTTTTTAGTAAAAATAATGATGCCAACCTCACGTTAATAGTGATCAACTTAAAAACACAAAAGTTCGGCTCTTAAAAGCTGTGTTGTAATTAACCAAAGATCAAGTTCGAAATTAATTAAGGCATGGTCTTTAGTAGTCTGAAAATCATGCAGAGATTTGACAACCGTGCGTTTAAATTGTAGGTATTGTTCATCTTATACTCCTAAATGTTTTTCGTTTTACGTAATTAGTTTTGCTAGTAAATTTTGAATTATATCTATTATTAGTGATTTTGTACCACAGAGCGTTTGTTTAAGTTACATTATTTATTTTAAATATTCCTACTTAAGGTAACTGGTACCGCAGGTCGTATTACTGCATTTTTCATATAGAGTTAGTTGAATACAACAATTTATTTCACTATTAGAAATAGGTAGTTAGTGCTTTGAAAGAAATTTAGTTACTTTGTAGTTATTTCCATTATTTTGAGTACTCAATACACGTAATACAATGGCCAATGGATTTTATTAAATAAATTGGAAGTTGAGTCTTAAATAGAGTTTATGTAAGATAGTAGAGATTTTCTCTACTACAACCTATTGGAATTTTTGTTTTATAATAAATATAAAAATTCAATTTCTCGTATGTTAACTTTAAAATTACCTACAATTCGTAGATTATTTTTGACTGATACCACCTTGCATTTATGTGGAATTATTTACCTAAACAAGATGTTTAAGATACTAACCTACGAATAACAATTAACAAATAACGCAATTGGACCAACATAAATATGTGTAAAATGATGTAATTATGGGAAAGGACGGTTAAAAATGGAGTTCAATTCATACTTCATTTGCTAATTAATATATTTTAGTTCTCCATGTATAATTTCCACTCGGTTTTCAGTATATAGACAATACAGCTAGTACCATACAGCCTTGTAATTGGGATGAACCGTGAATTGAAAAATAGTGGTACCCTTCATCTTTATTTAATGATGCTTCTTTTTCTGGCACAGTGTGCATGCCCAAATAAAAAGAAATATCTCTTTAATTTTGTGTTTCATTCCATTAAGAAACACATGAGCTTGTTTACTCTAATTCTACTATCAGTGGTTTTTAGTTATAAAAAGTAAATTAATGTGCACTTGTTTTTGGGAAATTGCATTGAATATAAAAAGTTGCACTAATTTTATTAAGAGCATTGATTATGTTGGACAGGCTTCTTCATAAAGTTCAAATATAAAATAAATAAAATTAGATTTCAATAAAATTAAGAAAACCTAACACCAAGTTAGTGACAATAGATTAACGTTAGTCTATTTTAAATTTTGTCTGAGGTTTTATGAATCCCTGTGATTAACACGGTCATCTGTATGTTCAAAGTTGTGAGTTCATATTATCCATTCGAATAGTTCGATAATATTTCTGACGTGTTATTAAATAGGTACTTTAATAAAGTGAATTTTCTAATTCTGTTTTCATCATCATTACTAAAACCATGTGTTGTCAAATCACTGTCTCTTGTCATTTTGTTCGTATTTAACAATCTTTTAAGTGTGTGCTGCTTAACTAACAAGACGGGATTTAACATAGAAATCTTAGCCGCCTTCGATTCAACGCGAACATCGGATTTTGGACCTGCAACTTTGACCAAATGCATCGCATGCTTGGAATTTCTGCAGTAAGCATGAAGAAATTATAACGATGATGATCATGACGATGAAAGATATTAAAGACTGGCTGCAGCTGCTGCCATCCTAGTGTTGTTTGCGTAATGCTCTTGGTTATGTTTTCACTTTTTGTTTTAGTTCTTATTAGATTTTTCATTGCTTTACGTTTTACCATTTATTATTATTATTATTATTGGTTTTCTAATCATTCCGTTCTTACCGTTATCAAAAATTATTTGCTCTTGTATATACTGCCAACAGATGTAAGTTTTGTTTTGTAGATATAAAAATTTGTTTAAAACGGAGAGGATTCGATTTTATGAAAAAGCTTAGACATTAAGTAACTATTACTAAAGGAACAAATATCGCTAAAACATGGAAACGGTTTTCATGTATATATTTCAAAATTGTTTCTGTTTAATCCTAAGCTATTTCATATAAATATACGATTGAATTATTTTCCATTGCACTTACATGTTCTGGAAAACGTTATTAATCAAAAATTTAAATTCAAGACTATTTAAATTTCAAAATCAAGACATACTTCTATTGCAGTAGTATAAATTAAAAGTGCATTACCTCAAATAGAATTATTTTAGATTTTATATTTATACTATTATACACATTATTTTCTTATAAAATTATTTTATAT